TAACTTTTTCCCCTTTACATGCACTGAGGGTGGGTGGGCTTACCTGGCTACAAGCTGGGGGTGGGGCGAGGGTCAGTAAAGAGCTGATTCACTTTGGCCAGGGTCACTTTTTTTCTTGCCAGACCAGGTTCTTCTCCGGACTTCCTCAGGTTAGTTCCTCAGCGGGGTTTGGGGCTACAGTGCGCCCTGCTGTTCCTCTTGCAGGCGGCACCTCTTCCACGGTGGGATGGGGGCCCTCTCCCCGGCAGCAGAGGCCTCAGCACTGCTCCGCAGCTGGCGGGGTGAGCTCCGTGCTGCTGGCAAGGCCTCTGTTTGTATCTAGAGGAAAGTTCATAAGTCGAAGCACCTACTGAAGGTCATAACTGGAATTGTACGTAAGTAGAGCAGTTCGTAAGTTGAGGTTCTACTGTACCTTTGGGAATTGAATCTGCAGTGGATGAGTGCAATCCCCAGCATCTACAGATAGATGCCAATAACGTCAAGTAGATGTTAAGAATGTCCAGTCCTTCTAGGAAAGAAAGGTGCCGGTAGCATGTGCCCTTGAGTACCCCCAGAAAAAAAAGCACTGATAATGTCAATAAAATTTATTTTTAAAAAAACAAAATGGAGAAATTCTAATCAAATCCTCAAAATGCCCTGAAAATAAGAGCAGGAAACATAATCGTCTTTTGCAGAGGAAGGCACATTTGGAGAAACCGAAAGACAGATTTTGGCAGGACAATGCTTGAAACATCTGTATACGGCCATCCAACAAGCATTTGCTGGAGACAGCGGAGTCTCCGCTGCATGCAGGAGACGACTAGCAATTTACATGACTTTGTGCTGGATAGAATGGACCCAAAATGGCCCCAAGAAAGCAATGCCTGTGGTTGAAATGAAATACCAGCGGTCTGTCAGTGCATTCCTCTTCCCACTATAAATCCCATATTTTGCTTTTTGGTATTAAGAACAGATGCAGAGGGTAAACAAAAACAAAACAGTGGCTGACAACTTCTGTTTGAATGAGGACTGACTCAGGGAAATCTGGCCTTATCAATCTGCCACACACATTATGTTCTGCTGAAACAGATGAGCCTTACATCGTTGTGCAGTGTCTCTGTCTCTGGATTGTATTAGGAACATAGGAAGTTGGTTTATATTTGCAGGAGCCTTTGCCCCACATGTGCCCACTTGACCACTTCAATCTGCAGAACTGGTACTTACAGGTGCTACATAATATTTGTTCTGCACTTGGTCATTCCAACCAGTTGTTGGACTTCAGCTCCCATAAACCCTGACAAGTGGCCATTCTGGCTGGGGCTTCTGGGAACTGGAGCCCACCAATATTATTGAGGGGCACCCCATGGACTGTCCCTGTCTTAGATAGTTTCTGGTGAATTCCCCTCAGAGTGAAGACAAATTTGCATTTCAAAACACTGAAGAATGGTAAGCACTGGGTTGGTGGCATGATTGTTTGAAACTAGGCAGGCATTCTGTGTTTAGCTTTGGCACGGTTAGTGTTTTTGGCCAGTGGCCATGTTGAAATATGTTTAATTTGAACAGGCAGCCATGTCAACATGGGAAATCTGAGGCAGGTCCCTGCTAGTCCCCCTGCTGGGGTGGTTTTACCACCCTTTAGTCAAAACTTTCAGCTTTGGCTGACTATGTATACAGTGGTGGGGGACTCTGATCAAAGATGATGAGCCCAAATGCTGTCCTCTCTGGTTAGTTTAGCTGTGGACTATTGGAGGAAAGAAAGGAATGGTGATATCTGAAGAAGAGGAGGAATTGATAAAGATTATCATGTTTGTGTAGCACAAGAAATGGGGAACCTGTAGTACCCGGGATGTAGTTGGACTTCAACTCTCATCAAAGTTGGTCAGGGATGGTGGGAGCTATTGTCCAACAACATCTGAAGAGCCACAGATTCTCCATCCCTGGGGTAGCTCATTGGCACAAGTGTGCTTCAGGTGCCGTACTTGGACTTGTGAGACATGTTTCAGATCCCTATCACTTTGTGAAGCTCATTTCACAAAGTTAGGCCAGCAGATGGACTGAGCATTCATCCTGTTCCTGTCCTGCATTAGGCCAGCAGATGGTTCAGTCACTGCTCAGACGCAGAGGCACCAGCTTCTCCAGCTGATTGAGGGGCCCAATTTGACTTTTCCTGACGTCGCATGGAGCCAGGGGACGGAGCCAAATGCCACCTGAAAATTGAAGGGGCCTGGCTCCCTCAAAAAATACATCAGGGTGAGGAAACTGCCTTGGCCCCTAGGAGTCGGTGCCTATGCTTGGATGGGTGGCTGCCTGGGAGCTTGTACTGCTGCTGCTGCTACTACTACTACTACTACTAGTACTTATTAGTAGTAGTAGAAGTGTAAAATTCAGGGTACACACACAAGCAATAAAACAATTAAAGCATCTAAAAATAAATCCAGTACAGATGCAGCCTGGGAAATGTTTCTACTTAAAAAGCTTGTTGGGAGAAGAAGATCTTCAGTAGGCACCAAAAAGGCAAGTGAGATGGCACCTGTCTAATATTTAACATAGACATAGCCTTATGTTCCAGAAGATTACAGGAATGTTGCATTTGACGTTTCCAGTGCTTTTCATGGATCACACACCCCTCACATGGTGATAAATTAGGCAGTATTTCAGCATACTGCATGGTGAATCATGGGGAAACAGAAGCACACATGCATGGAAAGACTTGGGGAGTGGCACCCTGTCCAATGACTGTGGTTGCGTCACACCATGCCCACTGGTCTGAAAGTAATTTAGCAAGACATAGGGCTATACAGATTTTAAAAAGCCACAGTTCCACAATGCATCAGGTACTGCACAGTAAAAGTAATGTTACAAATTAAGACAGAAGCAGAAGCATTATAACCAGTAAAACAATAACCCCCACCTCCAAATGAAGCCCTTGTCTTACACATGATAAGAACATAGAAACTTAAGAAGTGTCTGCTGGATGAAGCCAGTGCCCCATCCAGTCCCAACAGCAATCTCTTCTCCTCCAGTTTCCAACAACTGGCACTGAGAGACATTACTACCTCCAATGGTGTAGGAAGAGCATGGCCATAAAATGCCTCTTCCTTTATATTAACCCTTTAATGTCTTTGCCCCAAAGTTCCCTAGGACCCCAGGCCCATTTTTGCTGGGACTCTCAACCAGCTTCCCACACCATGTGTTTGGTGAGCTACGGGGTAGAAATGACATGCATGATGCGTCTATTAGAAATTCTGCAACTCCCACATCTAATCTAAACTAAGCTAAACTAAGCTAAACTAAGCTAAACTAAACTAAACTAAACTAAACTAAACTAAACTAAACTAAAAACTAAACTAAACTAAACTAAACTAAAAACTAAACTAAACTAAACTAAACTAAACTAAACTAAACTAAACTAAACTAAACTAAACCTCAGGGTTAAAGGAGGCCCTCAAATTCTGCATTGCATGTATGAGAACAATGCCCAGACCTTGGATAAACATCCCATAGGACCAGGGCGAAAAGAATTTACATTAACCTGCTTTTATTTCATAGGGACCTGCCAGTGTTTATATATGACTGCTGTGCTTCTTCTCAAATCAGAGGGCTGCAAACAGAAAGCATGTGAAGAAAGTGAAAGGAATCTTGACTTGGTACAATATTTACAGACCTTGCTGTAAATAGATGGCATACTTCTCACCATGTGGAGAGTTTTACAGTAAACATTTGAAATACATAATATAACCGGGGGGCATTTTCCCCCCTCTAAAAAAGCCTCCCTTTCAAACAAACACATGCACTTTAATTCTCATAAAACTGAAAAATCACTGGCTCAGGTTTGTTTCATAAGAACATAAGAGGCTTTTGGATTAGGCCAGCAACCCACCGAAACCAGCATCCTGTTTCCACAGTAGCCAACCAGATACATGCGGGAAACCTGCAAAGCCAATCACAAGAACACTCTTCCTCTACTTTACTAGCAGAAGCCCCATTAGCCCTAGTTATGTGTTTCTCGTGCGCAGGACAGGAGCTTGTGGAGCAAGGAATGGGGCTGTAGTTTTAGCTTCACCCTTAATGTCTTGTCCTGTCTCTCTCCTCACCCACACATGCTTCTGTGTAACCAGAAAGCCCAATGTGCAAGGTCTTGCTCACACATTGTGGCTGTGTGCAATCAGGACACAGAAACAATTAATGGAAGATAAAGCTATCAGTGGCTATTAGCCATGCTGGTTATGTTCTCTCTCTCCACTGTCAGAGGCAGCATCCCTCTGAATAGCAGGATTGTTGGGAACTGCAAGTAGGGAGAATCTCGTTGCGCTCAAGTCCTGCTTGTGAGTTTCCCACAGGTATCTGGTTGGCCAATGGGAGAACAGGATGCTGAACTAGATGGGCCACTGGGCTGATCCAGCAAAGGTGTTCTTATGTTCCTCTTATGTCATCAAATGTCTCAAAATGTCAGAGTTCCTACACATGATCACACAACCATGCACAACGCCGGGCTATTATTGCATTCTGCAATTGGCCCATCTTCCAGCTCATTAGACAAGGGGTGTGCCCTGTTGCTAGAAAGCAGTCAAAAGGGAGGAGGTAGATTTATATAACCACTTTATCTCTCATGGCAATCTCCAAGGAATCCTGGAGATTGTGATTTGGTAAACGTGCAGTGAACTCACTCCCAGAGTTCCCAATTTCCTTGAAGGAACTAGAGCCCCTATGATTCCCAAGGGCTGGGGTCACCGGTGTGGAACCCACCAGTGCCCATGCACCCATAGAGACTTGCCTGGTGCCTGCTTGGTTCCACCCTCTGAAATGAGGTTTCAAAGAAGCATTCTGTTGTAGCCAATGGAATAGGATTTTGTGTGCTGCTTGGTTGCAGTATATGCAAGATGCCTACAACATTTTCTGCAATTTGCAAATGTGCCCATTGGCTCATAAAATGTGATGCTTCCTGCCCTGCGGGGAGGGGAAAGAAACATCTGCAGTGGTTAACTCAAATCACGTCTGAGTTCTTATTTCTTGGTCTCCCCCCACAAAACCCATGTATAGTGGTACCTCGGATTAAGAACTTGTAGGTCTGTTCTTAACCTGAAACTGTTCTTGTTTGGAGGTTCTAGCAGGGGAGCGCAGCTATCGTATACCCTTGACCGAAGAACGGTACACTCCTTCTATCTGGGATGGTCGTCCTCTTCCACCGAGCGCGCAGCTTCGGGAGGGACATACATGGAGTGGTGAGGGAGGAAGGGGACACCCGCCTAGCCAGCCAGATCAGCCGAATCAACCCTGGCGATCAATGGGGTGACAGATGTCGCAGCCAGATTGCCCTCACATCCTAACCTGAAACTGTTCTTAACCTGAGGTACCACTTTAGCTAATGGAGCCTCCTGCTGCTGTCGTGCCGCCGGAGCACGATTTTTGTTCTCACCCTGAAGCAAAGTTCTTAACCCGAGATACTATTTCTGCATTAGCGGAGTCTGTAACCTGAAGCATCTGTAACCTGAAGCGTATGTAACCTGAGGTATCACTGTATATTTCTTCCTATATACATCAAAATGTAGGATGTTGTCAGTCTCTGCAGTTTGAGTGGCCACCAATAGGGGGCCACATCAGCTGGAGCATGAGGAATGGCAGGCACCATGAAATATGCCTGCAGTAAGGTTTAAGGGTGGGGAAGAGGGAGCTGCGGAGGGATTGTGGGGGTATAGGAATAGGTGAGGGGACAGGGGAGTATAAAGGCAGGGGTTAGGTCAGGTATGTGGGGAGAGCAAAGGGGTAGGTGGTGTCGGCAAGTGGAGTGAGCAAAAGGAATGGGTAACTATCTTTATATGGTGTGACCTTTCTTTTTCATATAGCTTTTCTACTGAATGTTCAATTTGCAGCCCTTGTCAAGACAGCTCAAACAAGCAACCCATCTCTCCTGCAAGACATCCATCTTATCAGATCAATATCGCTTCTTGCAATTTGGTTCCTGGAGCTACAATTAAATGCCAAGTCCAACGGAACAACTAATGCTGACATATATTCTACCCCAGAGCCATCTTTAAAAATAAGTAAATAATAATGTAATCCTAATGAACCTGTGTTAGGAAGACATAATAAGCAGCCTTGCAGCGGATGATGAGCATCTAGAAAGCTTCTCTGGAGTATGGTAGCATAATTACAACCAGAACTCTTAAGAGCAGGAGGTGGAAGAATAAAATAGCTGTCATTGCAACAGCATCAATACAATGAACTTCTAACAGGAAAACTGTTTGAAATTGAAGGTTTAGACAATGAAAAGGCAAGAAGCGAAGTGAGACCTTCCTAATAGGAAGAACGGTTAAGCAGTTTGAGATCTCAGAAGCTATATTTCAATAGTTGCAGTGAAGGAGGCAAAATCCATGGGGCAATTGGGACATTTGTCGCAAGAATTTGCTCTAATGGATGAACTTAGCATTAGGGAGTTATTCCTCCTTAATGCTAAGTATCTCCATTGGAGCAAATTTGTCCATTTCAGTTTCTCGTTGTTCCACTCTTGATTTATGCATCAGTTTGCAAACTTTTCCTTGAAAGCTCCTCACACAAATTTGACAGCATTTTAATGTGCACATTACTTCCCTGACCCCGAGTTCCCTGTGAAGAGGGATTGATCGTTAAACCACTCTGAAAATTTGTAGCTGTGGGAGGGAAAATACGTTTCTCCTAACTACTCTCAGCACCCTTAACAAATGGCAATTCCCAGAATACTTTGGGGGTAGGTATGATTGTTTAAAGTGGTATCATAGTGCTTTAAAACTATGGTATGAATGTGGTCTATGATTACTCCTCCCTCACCAAAAAGGCTGACTTCTCTGACAACACTATTTTACCAGAAAGCTTAAACAGCAAGGAGTGGAAGATGAAATCTGGCTAATGTCCCAAGGCAATATATCTGCTGCTTGATCTAAGGTGTGACAAATTAGCATCTGTCTTCTGCGAGGGCACTATCCAACAAGTACATACCTGCGTGGCTTCCTTGGAGCAGCACTAGCCAAAAGATTCTTTGCAATTGCATAGAGGGAGACGATGGGGAGGGGAGCAGGAGGGTAGGAGGGGGAACAGCTCCTTGAACGTGAAAAACAGCCAAGCTGCGTGGAACCAACTTCCAAGCAAGAATCTTGCTCAGCAGCTGTGAAAAATGTCTCAGTAAATATATGCTCCAAACTTTGATAGAACAAGAGCGCAACCCACGCTGATTCAAGAATGGACTTGCAAAGTGTCACAGGATCAAAATGCTGGTACTGGGTTTGGCCTCCTGTAGACTTCCCAAGCTGGGTTTCTTTTTTTTGCTGGGGAGGGAAGAGGAGGAAAAGTTTTGGGGATCAAGCAAAAAAGTTGCAGGGATGACTGGCTACACACATATGGCCATTTCAGAGATGGGTCTCAAATTATTATTATTATTATTATTATTATTATTATTATTATTATTATTCTGCAAGCCCTACTGTGGGTCACTTGTGCATCACCAGAAAAAAGAGGAGAAAAGTGATGCGGATTTGCAAAAAATTGGCATGTGCTAATTTGCAGGCATAGAAAGGATATCTTAAACAGAAATACAATTAAACTTGCTTCCTTTACATTTGTTCTAGTCTTACTACAGAGACCAAATGTGCTCCATCTTTTGCATGACAATGACACAATTCAAAGTACTGGTTTGACCTGTATAAAGCCCTATACAGCTTAGGTCCAAGCTATCAGAAAGACCGTATTTTCTCATATGAACCTGCTTGGCTTTTGAAATCATCAGGGGAGGTCCTTCTATCAGTCCCTCCACCCTCACAGGTATGCTTGGTAGGGACACGGGAGAGGTCCTTTTTGGTGGCTGCTCCCAGACTCTGGAACTCCCTCCCTAGAGAACCTTGACTGGCTCCCTCTTCGCTGCCCTGCTGGCAGGCAAAGACTTTATTTTCCCCACAAGCGTCTGGTAACTGACTGCTTTTAATTAAAGAGCTGATATGATACGGTGCTGTTTTTATTGGTATATTTTAAAGAGATTTTTATATACGTATATAGATTTAAATTCAGCCAATGTTTAAATGTTTTTAATTATTCTCCCCCCCCCCATTTTTAGTGGTTCTCATTTTTATCTGTAAACTGCCTTGAGTCCCGTTAGGGGAAAAGGAGGGATATAAATTAACAACAAGCAACAACAGGTGCTTTAATCCCCTTTAGTTGTGTAGGTCTAATATCAAGAGGCACCCTAGTAACATTCAATATAGGCATATCAAGCACTCCTGTTCATAACAGCTAAATGGAATTTACAAAGGTAGTATCTCCAAGTGACACACACAATGGGGTCACATAGTGAATGAAGGCTCCTCCACTGGCCTGGCTGTGGGTTTTACAGTGGAATTTGGTCATCCACTGTTGGAAACAGGATACTTGGCTCAGTGGACCCCCTTGATCTGACCTAACAGGGCTCTTCTCAAGTTCTTGCAGAAAGGCTGAGCCAAAGGTCTTGAGAAAAGTGCTCCAAAACTGTTCTGCAATTGCAGTTCTCACCTGCAAGCATCCCTAAGTACAGTCCCCTTCATGATCAGCAAGTTACTTACTTGCCCAGAAGGGAAACTGATTTAAATGCAGCCATAAATCTATCATTAACCTTTATTTGTTAGCTAGGAAATATGCATCATCTTTTTTTCTTTTTTTTTTAAACTAGTTCTTTCCATCCATCCATCTCTTAAGAATGTGTTTTGTGAAGTGCAAGACAAACTGCCGGAGGCTAAAGGAGGGGAGACTCATAACTGGGAAGGCAAACCATTAAAAAAACAACACCTAGTTATGATTTCTGTTCTTTCATTCTTGTGTGCTCAAGCCCACCAGCCTCCCTTGCTGCCGAGATCTGTTGAGCTGTCCCTCTGATGTGAGATGAGTGACAGCAGCTTGAGATCAGATAACACCTCAGGGGGATATTTAGCCAGTTCGAGGGATATTCCAGATAATTGATGGTGCAAGTCCCTTAATGTCTACTCAGAAGGAAGTCCCATTGATTTCAGTAGGATTTGCTTTTAGGTAACTGCATCTAGGATTGCAGCCTAAAAGTAGGGGAATACCTTTAGAATAATGCCTTAGGAATCATTTACATGAAGGCACCCCTTTATAGGGAAGTTTTTAATGTTTGGTGTTTGATAGGCAGCATATAAACAATAAAATAATACATTACCATCATCATTCTTCTTCTACTATTGCTGTAAAGAATGGGAGCCTTTGGGAATGACTGTCTCTGTCTTGGTGGGAGCTGAAGTGGATGGAAATTTTCCATACAATTAATTCCTGCCCATATTGTTGTACCAATATTTGAAATATTAGCTGTTGATTCTCCATCTTCTTTGAGATTGAGGCACATGGGGATGCAAGACTTTTGAAACTGGCTTTTATCTCCCAAAATAATAATTTACCCCCAAAACAAACAAACAAACTCAATGGTGTTTGGATTTTTCTTTCTTAAACGTTTAAAACTTTTAGCCTCGAGGTCTGGAAACCTATTTTTTTTTCTGGCTGCTTAAGTTTGTCATTCGTGGCACATTTGCTCAAATTAGATTCAGAGAATGAAATGAATGAAAAATGTTGCCTGTGGGCTTTTGGTTTTATCAGAAGAGGCTTTGAAGGGGAGAGAAGCAAGTGAAGGAACGCATCTTCTCTCTCTCTCTCTCTCTCATTGCTGATAGGAAATTAAAAGTGGCTGGAGCTAAATGAATTCAAACAGGGCAGAGAGGACTCTGTAAGAGGAGCAAGAGATGAATTGGGGGAGTAATGTCATAGTAAATCCAGAAGGTGAAAGACAAATTCTAAGCCAGCTTGAAGAAAAGTTGAGGCCAAGTAAGAGAGTCCCATGGACTGCAAGAAGATCAAACCTATCCATCCTTAAGGAAATCAGCCCTGAGTGCTCACTGGAAGGGCAGATCCTCAAGCTGAGGCTCCAATACTTTGGACACCTCATGAGAAGACTCCCTGGAAAAGACCCTGATGTTGGGAAAGATTGAGGGCACAAGGAGAAGGGGACAACAGAGGACGAGATGGTTGGACAGTGTTCTTGAAGCTACTAACATGAGTTTGACCAAACTGTGGGAGGCAGTGGAAGACAGGAGCGCCTGGCGTGCTCTGGTCCATGGGTTCACAAAGAGTCGAACACAACTAAACAACTAAACAAGAAGAAGAAGATGAAGACGAAGCAGAAGAAGAAGAAGAAGAAGAAGAGCTTCCACTTCCCCTCTTTTCTCCTGCTCTCTTTTCTCCTCAAGGTGATCTAGTGCCCTGCCTCATATTCCTCTCTCTGAAGGGCTGCCCACTGGTCCAAGCCAGGTCCAAATACAAA